CTGTTAATTTCTTATGCTGATCTGTTCTGTACGACATCTATTGCACGTCTGTCCGTCCTGGAAGAGGGATCCCTCCTCAGTTGCTCTTCCTGAGGTTTCTACCGTTTTTTCCCCGTTAAAGGGTTTTTTGGGGAGTTTTTCCTAATCAGCTGTGAGGGTCATAAGGACAGAGGGATGTCGTATGCTGTAAAGCCCTGTGAGGCAAATTGTGATTTGTGATATTAAATAAAATTGAATTGAATTGAAAAAAATCATAGTATAGTTATGTGGAAAAAATTCATGTTGTAACATTACGAAAAAAATCATAGTATAAGGTTTGAAAAAAGTATAGTTTGACTAAAAAAGTCAGTATGGCATGGCGAAATGATTCATACTACAGTATGTCAAAAAAGCCAGAATATTGTATGTCGAAAAAAGTCATAGTATAATATGTCGAAAAAATTCAAAGTGTAGTATGTCGAAAAAATTCATAATATAGTATGTCGAAAAAATTCATAGTGTAGTATGTCGAAAAATTCAGAGTATAGTATGTCAAAAAAAGTCATAGTATATGTTGGCAAAGTAGGGCTATACAGCGGCACAGCATTGTGAATCCAGAAGTTAAAACATCAAGCACCGAATCCAAGGATGAAAGAATTTAAAAAACGTGAATCGGAGACGCTCTGCCATTTCCCCTTTCACCAACACACAACTGAACTCAGCTGCGGGTGCAAGGCCTTTTATTAAACACGCCCACAAATGAAATCAGACAGCTGGCCTGTCAGTTAATCAATCAGTCCTCAATTAACTGAAACAATCAGTCATTAAAAATAACATTACATTAAGTTTGCTCATAAACACAAAATAACAAATAAACATTTAATAATTGGGAGCATCAGCTCAACAGTATAACATTTAGAAAAAAGTCATAGTATAGTATGTCGAAAAAAGTCATAGTATAGTTTGTCGAGAACGTCATAGTATCGTATGTCGAAAAATTCATAGTATAACATTTTGAAAAAAGTCATAGTATAGTATGTCGAGAAAGTCATGGTATAACATTTAGAAAAAAGTCATAGTATAGTATGTCGAAAAAAGTCATAGTATAGTATGTCGAAAAAAGTCATATAGTATGTCGAAAAAAGTCATAGTATATATAGTATGTCGGAAAAAGTCATAGTATAAGATTTTGAAAAAAAGTCATAGTATATGTAGTATGTCGGAAAAAGTCATAGTATAAGATTTTGAAAAAAAGTCATAGTATATATAGTATGTCGGAAAAAGTCATAGTATAAGATTTTGAAAAAAAGTCATAGTATATATAGTATGTCGGAAAAAGTCATAGTATATATAGTATGTCGGAAAAAGTCATAGTATAAGATTTTGAAAAAAAGTCATAGTATATATAGTATGTCGGAAAAAGTCATAGTATAAGATTTTGAAAAAAAGTCATAGTATATATAGTATGTCGGAAAAAGTCATAGTATAAGATTTTGAAAAAAAGTCATAGTATATGTAGTATGTCGGAAAAAGTCATAGTATAAGATTTTGAAAAAAAGTCATAGTATATGTAGTATGTCGGAAAAAGTCATAGTATAAGATTTTGAAAAAAAGTTCATAGTATATGTAGTATGTCGGAAAAAGTCATAGTATAAGATTTTGAAAAAAGTCATAGTATAGTATGTCGAAAAAAGTCATATCGTATGTTGAAAAAAGTCATAGTATAACATTTCGAAAAAAGTCATAGTATAGTACATCTGTATCGTCTTCTTCTGTGGTGGATACAAACGTTGACCTGTCTCTTGTTATTCAGCTGGCAATTGATTACGGGATCAAGTTTCTGGAAACTAGCGCCAAGTCGAGCATCAACGTGGAGGAGGTGAGTGATGACATCTGCATCACGTAAACAGAATAAAGACATTCAGACGTTAACATGATGGTCCTCTGCTCCACAGGCCTTTTTCACCCTTGGCAGAGACATTATGACCAGACTCAACAGGAAGATGGTAGGTTATAAGAAGAACATCAGCTGTTAGCAGCTAGCTCAAACACAGGTCCAGGAACAGGGGCACTAAATGATTGGTATTGTTTATAAAGAGCTGCTGACATGTATGTTATATTTCACACTAGGGGCTGGTGCTGTTGTGTTACATGTCATGCCTCATTTGATACTGTGATGTCATCATGCTGTCTGACATCACACACTGGAGTCACATGATGCCACCTTCGTTTGGTTCTGAGTCAAAATGATAAGGAGGCGTAAAGACGGGACCCTCACAGACCTCACAGATATTTAGGGCTCGTAAATGTTGCGTAATTTAATTTTGAATTTAGTTTAGTTCTTTTGAGAACTTAATGTCAACACTGGTAGCAAAGTTTACCGAAGTCAAATTCCTTGTATGCGGTCAATAAAAATAAGATAAGATAAATCTTTATTGTCATTGTACAGCCATACTTGTGTACCACAGCACAACGAAACTGGGATACTGTCCACTTTGGTGCAAAAGAAGGCATGAAGAAATAAAATATACGAAGAGTAGAACAACATATACAAAATATACACTTCAGTGTGACGTAAAGTGCAGGTATTGTTCATTGCACATGACCCACTGATGAAGAAAAAAGGCAGCTAATCAGATGAGGTTTGTACTGATTAGTGCTATTGCCCTGTTATAAAAGCTGCCCCTGAGTCTATTTGTCCGTGACTTCAGCGCCCTGAATCTCCTGCCAGAAGGCAGCAGCTCAAACACCAGGTGTCCTGTGTGTGTGCAGTCTCTCAGGATGCTACGTGCCCTCTTGACACAGCGGGTACGGTGGAGGTCCTTCAGGGAGGGGAGAGGGACAGTAAAGCTGAGTCTGATTCTGTGGCGCCGCCTCTGTGTGAAAAGGGTCAGGAAGAGCAAATGAGTGATGAGGACGAGGACAGACACAAAAACAGGAAGTGACTTTTCAAAGTAAGATATAATTTAAATATAAAAATAATTGAGACATTATAAACTCACAGGTGTCCTCAGGTGTCTCTGACCACTGGTCATGTATGTTCAGGTTACTGTCTCAGAGGAGGTCAGGAGGGACATCTGTCAGTCGTCTGCTGCTTGAAGCTGATTGGTCGACGATGTTGTGACCTTTGAACTGTTTGTGTTTCCTTCAGAACGACAGCAACCCGTCAGGAGGAGGCGGACCCGTCAAGATCACAGAGTCACGTTCCAAAAAGAGCTTCTTCAGGTGCTCCCTGCTGTAGCTGCTCCTCCTGCTCCTGCTCCTCCTGCTCCTGCTCCTCGTCCTGCAGGAGGACACACCTGTGGAGACATGAGGAGTGTCTTCATCAGAACCTTCTGGAACGTTTCTGCTTTTCTCTCAGCTCACAGCTCCTCCTCCTTCTTCTTCTTCTTCTGTTCTAAACTCTGCGTTACTGCAGCAGGTGAGGACGACACCGCAGCCACCACGATGATGATGATGATGATGATGATGATGATGAAGAAGAGCAGCTGGTGTGAGGCTGTGAGACGTCTCAATCTGTTTCATGTTTTATCTTCATTTAAATTCTGCAGCAGAAAAAAAAAACGAACTCAGAGTTGAACCAAAGAAGTGACGTCTGAAGCTGCAGCTCATCGAAACGTCAACACATCCGTGTGTGTGTCATACATGTGTCATTATTATGAGTGACATCACTGACACATTTAATGAGACACACAAGAGCTGATCAATCAATCAATAATCAGAATCTAAAGTTACATCAGTTTCATGTTAACGACTCGTTTCTGTTCATTAACGTGATTTAATTCATGCGTCACAGTGTCAGCTCAGATTATTGAACAAAAACACAACTAATAATTTCATCTTTTAAATTCACTTTAAATGTGTCAATATTCAATAATCAATAATTAAATTGATCTGATTCTGAGCAGAGAGAATTCATCACATCATAAATTAATATCAGACAAACATGTAAACATCCTGTTTGTATATAAACATCCTGTTAAAGGGATCAAACACATCTGATCATGTTAATAATCATGTTCATTGATTGTCTCTTCAGAGACTCCGCCCCCTTCACACCTGTACTAACACACATCAGTGATCTGATCACAGGTGGACGGCTGAGACATACTTACAGCCCTGCCCACAGTTATGACATCACACTTCTGTTAGCGTGCTAGCTTGTCACGTTAGCATCGTGTTGTACAGCTGGTGATATCAGCAGAGTTCAACACAAGGACAAAATAAGGGACGGTCACACAACACTTTGTCCAACTGGACATGAAATAAAATGAAAAGTGGAAGTTATCGAGCGGCAGCCGGCGTCACCAAAACAACTGCCACATTCTGCACCGATGACGTCGTCCTTGTCGGGGACGCGTCAGGACGGATTAGTGGTTACATCACAAAATGTCCAATGTGTCCTTTGTCTCAGATCACAGTGCGTCTTGGTGGTTGCTGACGCTCATATTCAGCCCCGTCCACGTGTGATCGGATCACCTGACGTGTGTTGGTACTAGGTCTGACCTGTCGTGTCCTTTAATCCTTCATCCTGATGCTGTGACATCGGCTTGTTCATGATGTCATGATGTTAAACTGTGACATCATCATGAGAGCCGCTCGGCTCTGATATTAATGATGTCGTGGGTTTGTGTTTATGGTGCAGCAGAGGATCAGGATTAAAACAGCTGACAGGAAGTCTGACACACCTCAAACTGCGACTGACCTTCAGACGAGTCGAAGTTTCTTCCTGTGAGACAAAAAGAAGAGTTTTGTTACTGCGACATGTTTCTGATGTTTCAGTGAACACACAGGAAGTGAACACGTGTTGTAACCAACGCTGTGGCTCAAACGTCAACACTCCGTTCTTCATTTCATTCATTTCTCCTCATGACTCTGACGCTCCTCGTCGCTCCACATCTGATCTCCACATCCCTGTCTGCAGCTCGGCCGTGAGGCGTTTAGTGTCTGCTGTGTTTCTGTGCTTTAACTGAAATAACTGCTGCTTTTCTATATTTTTATATTTGCTCTCGTTTGTTGACATGAAACCACTCGAGGAAAAAAAATTAACAGAATTTTATTTTTTAACATTTTTTATTCAGCTTTTTGTTGAAATTCTTATTTTTGTATGAATCTGAAAAGTTTCAGGTGTTAAAGAGTTTTATTCAGTTTATAACTTTAATCTTTTCTGCAGCGCGTCACCTCAACATTCACTCATTCATCAGAATTATTACACTCATTGTATTAATCATTCATCACTTCATTACAGCTGGATTTAAATGATTTATTAACTCAAAGAAAAATCAATTCATAATTCTGCTTCCTCTGAATTTAAATATAAATATTAATTGTTGAGGAACAAACAAAGAACGAGGATGAAATAAAGAATAAAAAGTTTGAATTCTTCTGAACGAAGGAATCAGAATTATTGATTATTTTAATCACTGTTTTTGTTTGTTTTTGAGTTTGTGTTTGAAATATTTACATTTTTTACAGTGTTGTTTGTTTGTTGTTCAGATGTTGAAGGAAAAAAGGTTTTGTCCAAACTGAAATATCTGACGTGTTAAAACTGTTTCCTGTTTACAGACTCAGTATTATTATTATTAATATAGTTATTATCACTGTTTTTATCTCCTGTGGATTTTTTCAGCTGCACTTTATGTTCTGTGTTTTTGCTTCTTCTGATAAAAAGGTGCTTTAACTTGTCGACACGTGTCCCCCCGATCAATACTGAACCAATACTGAACCAATCAGCACTGACGGCTCAGAGGTGATGTTCGTGTCTTTTTAATTTCAGGTTCATTTATTAATAATTCTCTGAGGATGTTTCCTTTATTCTCCCTCTGATTAATCAATAAGTCGATCAATCAATCAGCTGTTTGTGTTCTTGTTTCATAAATTCATTAAAAATCTGAATTCATTAACTCAAAGTGATGAAGGAACAATCAGCTAAGCAATCAATCGGTGAGTCAAATAAAACAATGAATGACATCACTTACATAAACAAACAGGAAGTCAAATAAAAAAATAAAAAGTTTGGTTTTATCAGAAACACACACACACACACATATAAATATATATTTTGGGGAACACAAACAGCTGCCAGTGTTTATAGGTGAGCAGCTGATCAATAGCTGATAATGATCATTTGACTGGTTGTAGTCTTAATCAATAACTGATAATTCTGAAACTGTTTAAATTGAGTTAAAAATGTTTTTATTTTTCAGCACTTTGCTCTGACGCCTCTATGCAAACACCCACCTGTGTTATTGAGCTCTGTTTACCTGTTATTGATTTATTAGTTTATGTGTTATTGATGGTATTATTATCGATACCGTGGTGTCTGATGAGAGATGATCAGATGTATTGATAATTGAACGGAACAGTTGGAGGATCAGAGTCTTTTTTTCAAACCAACTCATAAAAACTTTTCTTTAATAAACATTTTTATATTTGTGAGTTTGTTTGTTTGTTGACGAGCGACAGAAGTGATGAAGACTCGTTTGTCTTCATCAGACTGACGATTATTAAATGTAAAACAGATGAAGGCTCCGATCACAGGAACCGGATGTTTACAGGTTTTATTCTGCCATGAGGAAACTTTATACGAAATGAAATTATATTTCCTCCATGATGACACAGAAAATATAAAGTCTGTAAAAACTATAGAAAGTAAGTAAAGTTTATAGATGTACAGTAAATATAAAGTAAATATATTAAGTCTAATTAAAGTCAATATATAAAGTAAATATATAAAGTCAATATATAAAGTCTCTGACAGCATGTGTTTATGAGACTATGAATATTAATATCGAGCGGTGACGAGTTGGTTTGATAAAAACTTTTCTGTGGGTTTCGTCTGTTTGACGATAAAAGAAGCTCTTAATGTGAAATCATGTCTGTGACATCACTGTGGTGACCCTTGACCTCTTTAAATCTTCAGTTTTCACATTTGTCTTCCATTTCCTGCTCTGTGATGTCATCACAAAGTCAGCTGATTGTACAATAAACAACTTTTTTCTACCTGCTGTCTGATTTTATTTGGACTGAAAACATTTCAATCACCAGACTGTAAATCAACATCAATCACTGATTATTGATTATCAGAAAACTAATCAATAAACAGTTTATAGTAAAAGTCTTTTTGGACGTCCTCTTATTTTCTGTCTCAGTAAACTGAAGCAGTTTGGACAAAAAGACGTCGTGTTGGACTGAAGACTGAAATTCTTGTTTTGATGTTCTGCAGCTGAGGAAATAATCTGCAGATTAACTGATGATGAATCAATAACGAATCAATGAAGGATCAATAACGAATCAATGATGAATCACTGATGAATCAATAATGAATCAATGATGAATCAATAATGAATCAATAACGAATAAATAATGGATCAATAATGAATGAATAACGAATCAATGATGAATCAATAAAAAATCAATAACGAATCAATGAAGAATCAATAACGAATCAATGATGAATCACTGATGAATCAATAATGAATCAATGATGAATCAATAATGAATCAATAACGAATAAACAACGGATCAATAATGAATAAGTAACGAATCAATGATGAATCAATAATGAATCAATGACAAATCAATAACGAATCAATAATGAATCAGTGATGAATAAATGATGAATCGATAACGAATCAATGATGAATCAATAAAAAATCAATAACGAATAAATAACGAATCAATGATGAATCAATAAAAAATCAATAACGAATAAATAACGAATCAATGGTGAATCAATAAAAAATCAATAACGAATCAATGATGAATCAATAATTAATCAATAACGAATCAATGAAGAACCAATAACGAATCAATGATGAATCAATGACGAATCAATGATGAATCAATAACGAATAAATAACGGATCAGTGATGAATCAGTAATGAATCAATGATAATTCAATAATGAATCAATGATCGATCAATAATGAATCATGATGAATCAATGATAATTCAATAATGAATCAATGATGAATCAATGAAGAATTAATGATGAATCAATAATGAATCAATAACGAATAAATAACAGATCAGTGATGAATCAGTAATGAATCAATGATAATTCAATAATGAATCAACGATCGATCAATAATGAATCATGATGAATCAATGATAATTCAATAATGAATCAATAATGAATCAATGATGAATCAATAACTGTTGATGAGTTTCACAGTTCATGTTTCAGTAACAGAACTAAGAAATAAGAGTTGAAATGAAGCGGACTGAACCTTTAAATGTCAAAACAGCTCATCACAACAAACCAGCTGCAGAAGTTATTTATTATTTATTTGTTTATTATTTATCAGGACCCCGAGGACTGAGCGGTGGGACGGCACTACGGAATGATGATGATTTTTATGTCCTGAGCTCAGACACATTATTTTGAAACAAAACTTGACAAACGTCAACAGTGAGAAAGATTTACGTCTGATTTTGGTCTCAGCGGTGCCCTCTAACTTTTCAAAATAAAAGCCCCACCTTTAAATGTCAAGGTGTCGCTCTGTAACAAACTCCGTCCACATTGAATCTGATTGTCTGATGGCAGCCCCGTCCTGAACTCATCTGCATGCTAATGATCAAAGTTACAGCGCCCCCTGCTGGCAACAGGAAACAACTTGTTTTATGATTCATGTCTCAGAGCAGGTCGATCGGATCCACCTCAGACTTGTTTTGACACGTCTCAGAGACCTCGACGATGTTTTCTGATGAAACTGCCAGTTTTAGTTAAACAGTGTTGCCACGGCGCAGCCGCCATTTTTTATGTTTCGCCATTCTTATCTGAAGTTTTTGTAACTTGAGGGAATGCTGTCTAATCTTCCTATAACATGTCACGTACGATGAGTCTCGTCCTCGTTACATCTACGTGTCAGTAATTATCTATAGTTATAGCTCCGCCTACTGCCAACAGGAAGTGAGTGTTGTCTGACAATCATCATGATGTACATGTTGTGGTCGACAACTGATGTGTCAAAATAACCTGTGACCTGTGCACAGTGTCTGATGGACATGATGACGTGATGCACCTGTGTGTGGGTGGGGTTCAAACATTTACCTGTCACATGCAGAGGGGGGCGGGGCCTATCAGCGCCACCTGCAGCTTTAATTATTCATGATCAGGTTTTTTTATTCTGCTCATTATGTGTTTGTTGTTTGTGAGACTTCATCAACGTAGCTAAGAATATCGTGGCGGAATATTGCCCACAGGCTAAATGTGTAAGTGACAAAGAAAATTCAGCATTTTGTTCTATAAATCCTGCATCAAAGGGACAAAATATATGTCGATAAGAACACCTGTTAAATCTGACAGTTCAAGTCTGCCTAATGAAATTAACCACATGTGTAAATTAATATTAGTGAAAGACTGTTTATCACATTTATCTACTGATTCCTATGTAAAGTTCAGATGATGCATTTAATCAAACTATTTTATTCAGTCATCACATTTATCACATCATTGATTGTAGATTATGACATTTCTGAAATGATCAGTTTATAGGAAATAATCACAAGACACTGATCTATTGATTGTAGAAAATGACATTTAGTAAATCCATCAGTTCAGTGAAGATGAGGAAAACTATTAAGTGAATGCAGGTGATAGTGAATCAATGATCTATTTCTCATCATGTGGGAGTCAACTGTGAGCTCTATCTCTTATTATATCAAAATAAGGAAAATGTATGGCATGTGCTATAGGATGAGGAGCAGACAGACCACAATGGTGTGTGTCCCATTTTAATGTGGTTGCTTTGTGTCATGGTTAATTCATAAATATAAAAGATAACCATATGTTAATGTGAACAAATCAAGCCCTATGCATGATGTATGGTGATGCTAGAAGACATGTACTCATGTACAATCTTTCTTTAATGCTCAGTTTCATTTTATTATAGTTTTGTTGTTATTAGTTTGATTTTGACTTTGCTGTTGTGTTTTTTTAATTATCTTATTTTTATTACATTTTAATTTGTTTTTTAATCGTTAATGTTTTCTGATTAATGATGTCATATATTTTATGATCTACATCATATTTTATCATCACAGTTGTGAGTGTGTGAAGCTCTGGCAGAACTGTCCTTTATAGTCCAGGGGCCGAGGCAGATTTTGGTGCTTCCTCTGTGTCTCTAGTTTACATTGTGGTATGACAGACCTGCCTATGGAGTAGCTTAATAAAATTTTTGGATGATCTTTGGGTCCACCCCAAAATTGAAAATAGTTAAAACTGAGGCTTCTCCAAAAGGGACAGTGTCTGCCTGCCTTATCACATGAATCTCAGGAAATAATTATCAGAATGTCACCAAATGTGGACTGAATGTTCACAGACAGTTGCTGCACACGATGCAGCAAAGATGTCATCAGTACCTTACTCCTTTTAAAAAATGTATACAAATGTATATTGCTTCGTTAATGTTGGCGTGTAGTCTGAAAACAACATTTTCACTGAGGGGTATTTGGCTGGAATTTGGCAGGCAACCGGAAGGCTTTTGGATGGCGTGGGAAATTTGAAGTGGCTGCATCTGTATATTCATTGGGATCAGTAACAAAATCCCTTGTCCCATGTACCAGACATATGGCACTAAAAATCGTACAAGGTTCACTGACATCAACAAGCTGAGTCATGCACTAGGAGATAGCTACTCCATAGGCAGGTCTGTCATACCAAAATGTAAACTAGAGACATAGAGGAAGTCAAAAATACCAAAATTTTGTGGTCCCTTTAAGTGATACCAATTTGTGAAAGTTGGCCCCTTGGCCCCTGGACTATCAGCTGTCTGTCTGTTGATCATAGATGGAGCTAATCCTCACCTCAACCCTGCTACAGACCAGCAGAAGTTACCATGGTTACTAGGCTGGGATTCAGGTTAACCATCTTGATGGAACGGAAACCAGAATTTAGCTTGATGTCTCAGGCTTAGCCAGAACTATGGTTTCCATGGTTACCGATGTGAGGCTAATCTTAGCCACTTTGATGGAACAGAAATCATCATCATCATCATCATCATCACCATCACCATCAATCATCAGTGTTTTGTATCTATGATTAGTCTCACCTGTCCTCCTGTCCTGGCTGAGTCCCTTTGGACATCTCTGCAGACAGTCGTCCATCTTCTAAAATACAAACTGAATTATATAGAAGATGAAAACAGAAAGTGAACATCTGTCCTCACCGTGGACACAGTCAGGTCTGTCCAGTGACGAGCTTCAGCTTTGCTCTGCTGACAGAGTTCTGAAGCCTGAATGACCCAAGGACTGAGACAGTGACTGAGGGGAGGTGGTTCCTCCTTCTCCTCTTCCTCCTCCTCCTCCTCCTCCTCCTCCTCCACAGAGAATTCAGAGACACGTGTCAGTTTTGAACAAACTGTGTTTATTACTCAGATAAGAAAAGCGACACTTTATTTACACACATGTACAGTTAGTCCACCTGATCCTAGACCAGCTCAGAGACACAGACCTGATCCTAGACCAGCTCAGAGACACAGACCTGATCCTAGACCAGCTCAGAGACACAGACCTGATCCTAGACCAGCTCAGAGACACAGACCTGATCCTGGATCAGTAACAAGCAGCAGCTACCAACATAAACTCTACTGAACCTGAACATAAATAAAACTGAGCTCAGATCAGAAACTACAGATGACAGGTCGACTCTCCCGGTGTCTCACTGCAGCAGCAACACACACCTGGAGACAGAGAGACAGACAGGCAGAGGGACAGACAGAGAGAGAGAGAGAGGGACAGAGAGAGAGAGACAGGGACAGAGAGACAGAGAGGGACAGAGAGAGAGACAGGGACAGAGAGAGAGACAGGCAGAGGGACAGAGAGAGAGGGACAGAGAGAGAGGTGGCTTTAATGACATCATGTGTGATGTAAACAACAACATAAACAGCTGTGTGGACGATGACATCATGGCAGATATAAATAACTGTAACAAACATGATGTCACAGTCTCTGACTCCTCTCATTTTATTGTGAAACATTTGTTGTGTATTTTATTGTGAAACAGTTTCCTGTCACTGTGGAGATGATGTTCCTCCTCAGTGTCAGCTCTGTGCCTGTTCATGATGTTCAACAGATGAAGTCATTGATCAGTTAACTGAAGAGCTGATCAATCAATGATCAATAATCAGTGTGAATGTTTCACACCAATGATCCATTCATGTGTTCACATCATGTGTTCACATCATGAGTCACTCTCTACTGTCGAACTGCAGGTTAAAGAAAAGGTGAATGAGAGTCAACAGGAAGTGGACAGGTGTCACACTCTTGTTCGAGGTGAGGTTGAGACTGAAGGGCTGTGACATCATCGCTCAGTTTAACAAGAGACAATCAACAGGTTTAATGTGTATGTGTGTGTGTGTGTGTGTGTGTGTGTCTGCAGCTGGAACATTAACATCAGCTGATCACTTCATCCTCTGTGTCCTTTGATCAAGGTTTCACAGCAGCTGTTTTTATGACATCATCATCTCACTGTGCTCCTCTTCCTCTGCTGGAGAGTTAGCGCCACCTGCTGCTCACCTCCATCAACTGACTCCACATATTGTCATGACAGAGGAGGAGAGATTATTGACGATCATGTTACTGACACTAACGTGACAGACGGGAGGAGGAGTCTGTGTGTCAGTGTCTAATGATCACATGTTGTTTAGAGCCTGTGAGTCTGTCAGCGCCCTCTGCTGGTGACTGTAAGGTTACACTGATGATGTTTGATGTTTCTCATGTGACACATGATGATGATGATGATGATGATGATGATGATGATGAGTTGACTTACAGTCGAGTCCATCAGGTCAGCTGATTACACGATGGTGGCCGGACTGATGACCGGAGCTGCTTTCTGAGGGGACACACACACACACACACACACACACACACACACACACACACACAGAACACATGGAGAGTTCAGTGGTCACACCAACAGCTGGAGCGGAAACTTCCTGTCAAACTGTGACAGGAAACAAGATTCACCACCCTGTGGTTGTATGACCCGCCCCTTGTATGGCTCCGCCCCTTGTATGACTCCGCCCCCTGTCTGTCTGTCTATGTGTCTGTGTGTCTGTACTCACAGGTGAAATGTACTGGCTGTTGAGGTGCTGTTTGTTGGAGGAGATGGAGGAAGAGGAAGAAGGCTGGCTGAGGGGGCTGGGCTCCTCTGGCAGCGCCTCCTGCAGGTGGGAGGAGACACAACCGCTGTCAGAGCCCGTGGAGCCGGAGAGACATCGAGACGACGAGCCCGAACTCTCTGTGGCTGAGAGACAAACATTATTACTACATTATTGTTAAGTATGTTAATTGTGTGTGTGTGTGTGTGTGTGTGTGTGTGTGTGGTGCGTGTGGCGCCTGTGTGTGTGTGTGTGTGCGTGTGCGTAGTGTGTGTGTGTGCATACTCATGGAGGGCTGGCTGCTGGTCTCATGTTCCTGCTCGTCTTCCTCAATACAGGAAGTGATGAAGGAGCTCTCAGCAGCAGGAGAGGAGGACGAGGTTTGACTGCAGAAGAGACGACACGTGGTTAGACAGATGTGTACCTGTGCAGGTGTGTGTTGTACCTGTACCTGTGCAGTTGTGTGTTGTACCTGTACCTGTGCAGGTGTGTGTTGTACCTGTACCTGTGCAGTTGTGTGTTGTACCTGTACCTGTGCAGGTGTGTGTTGTACCTGTATCTGTGCAGGTGTGTGCTGTACCTGTATCTGTGCAGGTGTGTGCTGTACCTGTACCTGTACATGTGCAGATTGAGCGGTCCCAGCAGGCTAGTTGAAGATGGTCCTGATGTCATGGGGTCAGAGGTCACCGCTGCTCGTTTGAAAGGGTTGGAGTGATCAAAGACGGAGACAGCGATGGATGCCCGCGTTCTAGCACCTGAACACACACAGACACAGACACACAGATCATTAGCAGCTGTATGACATATTGAACACAGAAACATCTTGAGTCAAACGTCTCAGCGTGCTCCACGTCGTCAGATGGAGTTATTGATAATTAAATGATCAGATAAAGATTAGTGATGCGTGCTTTTATTTTGAAGGGTCAGACCTCTGCTCTTCATGATGTAATGAACGGCTCGGTCACTGATGGCGGCATCGCTTGGCTGGATGTCCAGAAACGGTTTGTTTCCCACTCCCATCGACACCATCTCCTTCAGACGCAGCTCTGAAACACACACACACAGGTGATAATGATGATGATGAGGATGAAGGTCGCAGGTGATGACAGACAGTCCTCTCCTGTCTGTACCTTTGTTCCTGGTGGCCTGGGTCCACAGGATGCGGGCGATGTCAGAGGTCCAGGCGTGTTTGACCTCTGACATGGGGGCCTGAAGGATGAAGGTCTGGTTCTTTGACGTCCTCCTCCTGAACCAGATCTCAAATCTCAGCCCGTTGTCTCCGGTGGACTCTGTGAGACCGACGTCTGCTGTCTGAGGGACACAGAGGAAGAAGAGCTCAGTCTCAGTGTCCTCTGAAGACATGCAGCTGTGACGTCCAGCTGGTTTTACCTTGAAGGAGTGTTTGTAGATGAAGACGTCCAGACCTCCCTCCATCTTCTTAGGTTTACTGAACAGAATCAGCTCCTCAAACAGGAAGATGTGACGCTGACATTTCCTCCTCCCGCTCCAGACCGTGAACTCATCCTGACGCATCAGCTGACCCTGCTCCTTCAGGTTCACCTGGAGACACAGAGACACACAGTGAGACATAGACACACAGAGAGACAGAGACAGAGACAGCGACACAGAGACACACAGAGAGACAGAGACAAAGACAGAGAGACAGAGACACACAGAGAGACAGAGACAGACACAAAGACAGAGAGACAGAGACAGAGACAAAGACAGAGACACACAGAGAGACAGAGAGACACAAAGACAGAGAGACAGAGACAGACACAAAGACAGAGACACAGAGACACACAGAGGGACAGACAGAGACAGAGACACACAGACAGACAGAGACACAGAGACAGACACAAAGACACAGACAGACAGAGAGAGACAGAGACGATCAGGGTTCAATCGGGGCTGATCAGGTTTGTCTTCATCATAAACGGAAACAACAAAAAAACAAAAACATTTTCTACTTTTAATTTAAACGACTTCCTGTTCGTCTCTTTGAGTGTTATCAAACTTACATCACAGTCTCTGATGGCGTCCATGGCCAGAAGGTCGTTTCCGTGGCGAAGCTGAAACTTGACCATGTCGGTGGCGGCCTGCAACGCCACAAGCTCCGCCTCCTGGGCCCCGCCCACCTCCTTGATGAGGTCAGTGAGCAGGAGAGCGTATTTACTCATCCTCTGGATGGGCTTCAGCAGGTAGGAGGACAAGTCCATCTTATCTCCTAACTCCATCTGCTTCCTCTGCAGGAGGAGGAGGAGGAGGAGGAGAGGGAGGGGGGGGGGAGGAGAGAGGAGGGAGGAAGATGATGGTCAGTGTGTGCCGTGTGTAGAGTCAGCTGACAGTCAGAGGTCAAAGAAGAAGATGATGATGATGATGATGATGATGATGATGCGTTCTCACCCTGAAGAAGGAGTTCCCGTGATTGGCCAGAAGAGCGTCAGACTTTGGTTTGTTCTTACTGTACAGAGCGTACAGACTGAACTGCTCCTGCTGTTTACACAAACAACAACAATAAACAACAACATCAGCGGCTGATTGGTTCAAACCCACTGAGAACTACAGACAGTGTTTGTGATGCTGAACTGAGAATGTTGCCTCCTCTCTGTGGTGTCCTGTCAGGGCTGATGGGAAATGTAGTCCACTGAAGTAACTGACAAATAAATTGCGAACTCTGGAGTTGTTCCTGCATCCGGTGCCGTCACCTCCTGCTGGAAGCAGGAAGAACTACAGGCTGATTTCTCCTCTGTGCAGCCAGGGGGCGCTCTACAGCACAGAGGGTGTTGTGTTCAAGGACACATTTACTGTGTTCTGACTCATATTCATCCTCAGCAGGAGGCCACAGATACAGACGCTGTGCCGCCATGTTAATGCCGCCAGGTCAGACTGGTTATACTGACTGATGAAGCTGAGCTGTGCTGCAGTGCCTACATGTACCAGGATGCACTGGTGTATCACCACCCGGGCCTGCAGCTGTTACTTTGTTGGTCAGATCATACAGTTGAGTAACAACTTTATTAAATTAAAAAATTAAAAATTAAAAAAAAATTAAATTAAATTAAATTAAATTAAATTAATGTGTCGTACGTGTCGCAGGAAGCAGTGCGGCACTCTGAGCGGGTGTTTCCAGCACGCCTCCAGCTCTCTGAGGAAGAACTGACTGTGGAAGTCCAGAAGTTTCTCCAGGTTCCCGAAGACGACGGAGCGTTTCCCCCGGAGATCCTGAGGAAGGTCGGCTCGGTCCATCTCTGGGAAGTAGTGATGGATGATGTAACGCAGAGAGCGCACGTACTCCCTCTCCGTGGTCACCATCTCCTCCACCACGTGACGCAGCTTACTGCACACACACACACCCATGAAACAAACACACATACACACACAGCAGGCTGTTTACATGAACACATAATATCTCCTCTCTGATCTGTCTGCTGTGAGTCGTCCCTCACTTCTTCTTCTTCTTCTTCTCTTGTACTTAACATGCATCCACACGTCATAACGCTCTGAGCGAGCACATACTCATAGTAATAATTCTACATCCTGAGTTCAGCAGTTACAGGTCACAGGTCACCGCTCTGACAGAATCACTTTATAAAACACTGATGAGTTTGGCGGTCCGTGATGTCAGAGGATCGTTAGTAATGCACTGACAGCTGGTTTCATCTGTGATGTCACATTTTATGAAAAATATTTCCTCTGACATGAAGTCAATGAGAAAAGTATTCGTGCAGTTTTTAGTTGAGTAAATGTACTTAATCACTTCCTGTTTGTGGTGATGATGTCACCACACAGAAGTGGCAGTGTTATTACTCACCTTCCTCGGGGGCGGGACTCTCCTGCTGGGCTCGTTCTGGGGGTCCCGGGGCTGCGGAGCCCCTGTCCTGCCCAGCCGTGAGCGGCGGTCCTGGGACACAGCGTGTGGTCGGCGGCCTCAGAGCTGCTGACCTCCAGGCCGCGGATGAACACGCCCGTGTTTCCACTGCGCACCGGCTCGCTGAGGGCGCGGGGACACGGTCCGTACCGCGACACCTCGGGGGTGGAGGGGCAGTCAAAGCTCTGAGTCTTCCTCAGCTGCTGCCGTCTGCTGGAGGAGAAGAGGGAGGAGGAGGAGGAGGAGGAGGAGGAGGAGGAGGGGGGGGAGGAACTGGCGAAAGAGTCGAGGCGGGGGAGGCTGGGTCTAGAGGAGCAGATATCCCCCCGGTCTGACGACTCCTCTGAGGAGACGCTGCGGAACAGACGCTGGAGGAGCGGCGTGTGCTGGGGGGTGACGGGGGAGGAGGGGTTACGAGGAGGTGAGGAGGCGTTCTGCTCGGGGGGACATGAGGAGGAGGTCTCAAAGATCCCCCAGAGTCCTGACAGTGATCTCCTGGATGAGGCGGAGCTCCTGCTGAGGGCGGAGTCAGAGCGCGGCCTGTGGGCGGAGTCCCGTGTCCTGAGGGCCGCCTCCATCTTCCTGTCGAACATCCTCTTGGTCTCCTGACACTTGGACCAAGCGAAGCTCCACTGACGGAGGCCTCGCTCCCCCCGCAGCTCGCCAGCCGCCACCTTCATCTCCTGGAAGCGCTCATCTGGGATTGGTGGGTGCTGGCGCTGGTATTCTTCCAGGCAGCCAATCACAGCCTGGCATTTGTCTGGCAGCGTGCACTCCTCCATACTGACACCAGCTAGGTGACGCATACCCTCCAATGCCCAGCCATATGCCTGCAGAGAGACAGAGACATGTGACATCAGACCAGGGGGCGTGGCCTCAAGCTGACCTCTGACCTTAAACCCTCCAGTGTGTTCATTATTACATCATGTTTGCAGGGCAGAGCTCGTCTGTCGAGACGCCATGAGAACCTGATGGACTCAGTGATGCAGCTCTGAGGGAACAAACATGGCACGTCCTCCTGTCTGTCCTGCCCACTGACAGACAGAGAGGAGGTCAGGGATGACATCATCACCCTGGACACTGGCAGTGAGAACGCTTTGAAGTGTGTGTGTGTGTGTGTGTGTGTGTGTGAGGGTGCCACAATGGAGCCGACTGCCGACCTCTTTTTAGTTGTGGTCTGGAGGAGCACACACATTACCTCACCACTAAAACACACACAGGTCATGTGACAGCAGCACAGGCTGAAAAGTGTCCAACAGGTGGCGCTCCTCTCACTTCAGATTGATACAAAATGTGTATTTGATGAAATCTGTTCTAACTCCAGAGAGACCACAGGCCTGTATCACAAAAAAAGGAGTGGAAAGAAGTGGAACTTTCATCCCACCCCTTCATAAGAAAGAAACTGATCATTTGCAGACACTTAATAGCACCATTAATTAGTGCCAACATTTTGTTTTGTTGGAGGAAATGATCCCTGTTAAAGATAATGGGCCTAATTGACAGCTTTGCTGCTGGAAATGTGGAAAGTAGCCTATCATGTCTACACTTCATGGTGTTTGAGGGATTTTCCTTTTTGTTTTTTAAAGAGGGACACTAG